TCATATGCGTACTTACGATTGAGAATTGTGTCCATTAGCATTGTAAGAGTGCTGGCAGCCAAATGAATACAACCAAGATTTAAGTCGTCAGTTTGATTTGGTATATTAAGTAACACAACCATTAGAAGTGTAACAAACACGAGCCAAACTAGAAATATTTTGCGACGAATGATTTAGAACCTTGTTTTTTCAGCTGGTGCTTTGTCCTCATCATCATTGTTTACTGAATCATTAACTTGAACATTCTCTGGCAATGCTTCACCAGAAGATTGCTGCAGTTATACAAGCATACTACTACTGCGATTAATAGCACTTGTATTGAAGCGTGTAGTTCCATTCCCACTTTGATCATAACCCATTGCAGTTGCTTTACGTTCCTTAGAGATAGAGAGAGTTAACAATTTGTGTCTAACTTGAGGGTCTTCATAACTTACAATGTACTGTAGCTTCTCTTTCACTGGCAATAGAAGTAATTTCTGAGCTTGCTGCAATCCTAGAATTTTGAGCCTCAGAATTTAAATGATTCTCTTCTTTTCTCATCTTGATACGAATTAGCAAAAACAAGTATATTAGCACAACATGCATGATTATCAAACCTAGTATAGCTGCTGGGAGCTCTGCTATAAAAAATTTGAGCAAAGTTAGTATACCAAGACACAATGGTAGCAGCACGATTTTGTTTGATAAATTCTGTGAGAATGAGATGTGTAACAACAAGACAGGCAGCATCCTTTGTAATGAATGCAGAGAGGATGGCAGACATCAAGCATACCTTTTACAGTATTGATTGAAATGGCTTATTCTCACTAACATAACTACTCTCAGAATACCTTCCCGATCATAGTAATAAGACAGAATCATCATCCCAACCAGGAGAAAGTTAACACTGTCTGCAAGTTATCTTTATACCCTTGAATTACATACACATCATTTTGAGAAACAATTTGAAACAATATGGATGCACTATAATGTGGTTATGCAATGTCATCAATCATCATGTGTAGAATACATCTATGTAATCACATACAACTCCTTTCTCAATAGAATAATTATAGGGAACAATTTGCTGATTGTACAGCTGATGGTTAGTGCAAGTACATGTACACAAAACATGCATGAAAGAGTCACTACAATAAAGTGTAGTTATGCAATTACATATAAGAGTGAAAGGAGAACCTTCAATGAATTCTTGACATTCAGAATTATGGCTCTATTAAGTATTATTGTCATTGTTATTGTTAGATGATGATGTGATGGGTGTGAGCGTTAAGGACGAGATCAAGAGACTCAGTTCCAAGTGTGGAATGAGAATGCAACCTCTGTCAGATCATCAAAACTCAACAGTAAGTCTAAATGTTAGTATTGAAATACTACAGCCTGAGATGTTTGTTGTTAAACAAAATTTTCTCCCAAAGTGCTGTCTGTTATAATTATAAGGCTCTATTTTATTATTTTAATCTGTAGCATTGCATGCATGCATAGATAATGTATTTCTCTTATAAAAATGATAATGTACTGTCACTACTATGTACATGTGTGTAGGTGATGGATAGAGTTAGAAAGCTCCTACCAGGAGTAGAGATAAGAGATTTTTATACCTGTAAGTACAACAACTGTTAAAAGCAATAATGTCCCACCCCTTCTCCTCTAGCTGTTAAAGAGAGGTTAGTAGATGTCTCACACCAGCCCCACTCCTATCAGCAGTCGTTTGGCAGGTCACAGCGACCACATCTACCACCCTCCGGCATTTCACCTTTCCAATATTTCCCTCGTCCAGCTGCAACTTCTCATGCCCCACCTCTTATCATTAGACCCCCTCACTCTTAACTCCTCACTGGTTGATTGTAGAGACTTGTAGAAAACAGCTATACTTGTCTTTGTGTGTCTTTTTGCTTCCCTGCACTGAATTTTTTAACCTCGGGAGTGTTCCAAATCTCTTTTTTTGTCTATTAGAAAGGAACTATTTACTTGTACATAATATTGTTGTACTTTTAAAACATAGAAATAAGTTGTTCTTCCTGTGGTTTTATGAATAATAATAACTATAATCATAAAAAGATTCAAAAATTCAAAATCATAATTAGGATGTGGGTGGGTCAACTTGAAGCAAAAATGTCAAACAAGAAGAAGCCTGGCCAACTTAAAAGGCCTCCATCATTCTCGGACATTTATGGTTCTACAAAGCAGATAAAAATTTCGCCAGAAAATGAAGAAGAAAAGGATTTGAGAGTCTTATTGGACCAAAGGAAAGAGCTTGGTCCGAGCAGAGAATGCGATATCGATATGAGAGAATCGCTGACTAGACGGATCACACGACAGTTTCCAGGTGGAGGATATGACAAAAGTCACAAAACAGCCACAAATGATGCTTCGCTGTGTTTTCCAGTACCTAAATCTACCAGTATAGATCGGCCTGGGAGGAAAAGAAAACGGGCATCATTCAATCCACATGATTCAGAGGAAGATGAATATATTGCTACTAAACGACAACAATTTGATCAGAGATTGACAGGAGCGTCACCTCACTATTATGAAAAGACAACAGCTAGCACACCACACTTTCATTCTATACAAGCATCAAGCAATAGTTCAAAAGATCGTCACCCGTCATCGGTACCAAGTTGGTGTGATACAATGGCGAAATACTTAAAGCTATCGGCAAAGGATGTAGTTTCATGTGAGTCAGTATTGAATGATATACACGATTGCTTTGTTGATTTAATTCATGATATTAATGCTAATGGTATCCATAACAAAGAGGGTATGATTTTAAAAGCAATTAAAATGTTAGCAATTATGTGTCAAAATTTGACTAGCGATGATATGATATCGAGAGACCACACAGAAGGTGCTCTAAGCTATAAATTAAAGATTTTTGATGACATTTTTTTGCCATTTTGGGCTACACTTGGATCATTCACACGTTCTCTTCCTTATTATAAAGTTATTTCCAAATTTGATTTTATTTCTTCACTGCAACAAGTTCTAATGGCACTCCTTTATAGCAATGCCTTTCCTATTCACAAAGTAGTTCAATTTTTGCCACTTGATGATTTGCATGGAGCTTTGAAGCAGCTCTGCGACAGTAGCTCTCGTGATTTTAAAATACTCTATGAGCAGTCTTTGCAACTTTTAACTAAACGTGACAACTTAAGAAGTAGCCTCATAATGTCTAATGCACATGATGATACTTTTACTCTTTTGCCAAGTAGAAGTGACCTAATGTCAACATCAATCCTGGTTAAAAATAAACCTCAGTATTCTTCTGATTTTGAATATCTTGAAACCCATTTTGAACTCCTACGCCAGGATTTTATTCGCCCTTTGTGCGATGTGCTACGCAACCTTCAAGAGGAGAATGAAGAATATTATGAAGATAACAATGGTTATAGTAGTGCTATCACTTATGAAAGCGTTCGATTCAATAATAAAGATGTTTGTGGTGGGGATCTTGTCTACAAAATCAATTTTCATCTACCCAAAGGAAAAAAAGTCAACTGGGATCATTCCAAGCGTTTAACGTATGGTTCACTTCTCTGCCTTTCAAATGATAACTTCCACACTCTGTTATTTGCCACTGTTGCTAATCGTGATGCTAAAGAATTAAAGAGGGGTATCATTGCTGTGAAAGTGCTAGATGCTAGTGTTGAACGTATTAGTGATTGTTTGAAGTACAAAATGATTGAATCACCAGCATACTTTGAGGCATATTCTTCAGTTGTTAAACAACTACATGCCATGAAGTCAAACCCAGAAAACAACTTACCAGATTTGGCTAAAAAGTATCTTGTCAAAGGTGAAGCAGTAGTTGAAATGCCACTTTATGCACAAATTCAGACAAATGAAGAAAGGCATTATATTTTGGATCTAAAAGGTGTCCTTTGTGATTGTAAGACAATTAGAGAATGCCCTCATGGCTACAATAGTATCATTGTTTCCCAGACGAAATTTACTGTATCAGAAGCAGTGGAAGAATTTCAAGTTGAAATCAGCAATAGTGAAGATGAAATGAGTGATAATGAAGATGAAACAAGTTTAGTGGATACTGTAGTACTTCCCAACTCAAGTTTGAATTCTTCTAGTGATTCTAGTGATAATGAAATGGAAGAATTTTTGACTCCAGTGGATAATTTTCAAGACTCTCAGCAGTCAAAACCTCCTTTCGCTGAAAAACTTGATGAGTCTCAGGTAGCTGCCTTGAGACTAGCACTGTCATCTGAAGTTGCTCTTATTCAGGGTCCTCCTGGAACTGGCAAAACTTTTATTGGAGTACAGTTTGTGAAGGCCATGCTTCAAAATAGACGAAAATGGAATTCAGAAAAATCAGTACCAATACTTGTCATGTGTCAAACTAACCACGCTCTAGACCAATTCCTAGAAGAAATCTTGGACTTAAAAATAAGTAAAAATCTTGTGCGAATTGGTGGAAGATCAAAGAGTGAGAGAATATCCAATGAGAAGCTCAATATTAGAGATAAAAAACGACAGATTCGACTTTACAGAAAATTTATTGTGCCAAGAAGGCGGTCACAGCAAGCTGAATCTATTATTTTTCCTAGCCTATTTTTTCGTAAAGAAGATTTGACTCTTATAAAATGTAAATATGATGCACTTGAAGAGCTTTGCTATAAAGGCCTGCCTTATAATGAGCTTAATAAGATGTTATATTATTCATTTCTCCATCCAAAACAACTCTTTAGCTGTACTAGTGACTGTGCCATACATGATTATATTAAAGGCATGAGAAGTATTGAAGATATTCTCCAGTGGCTGGGCATAGAAAGTAATTCCCCAAAAACTCCAAAAAAATCCCCTTGTTTTTTGACAGATTTTTATACAGATTCTGAGGAAGATGAACGTAAAATTGATGCAGATGAAGATAGAAATGCAGAACTTGAAGGAGAAGAAGTATTAAGTGCAGCAAAAAATAAAAGAGATTTAGTAAACTTTTTTAAAAAGCTACAACGATCAGATCCAGATGAAGCTAGAGTTCAGCGATACCAAAACCAGTTACGACTTGATCAAAAACGGGACTTATTGAAAATGTGTTTAAGAAACCAATGTAGGCACCTTAGACAAGAACTTCGTATCCTTCAAGAAAAAAAGAAAAAGTTTGAAGATGAAGATGATGCCATTACTCTTCAAGCACTGAAAGAAGCAGATATTGTAGGGGTGACCACTACTGGTGCCTCAATGAACATTAAGGTGTTGCAAAAAGTTCGCTCAAAAATAGTAGTAGTAGAGGAAGCAGCGGAAGTAATGGAAGGGCACATTGTAGCTGCTTTGACAAAGCACATTCAGCACCTTGTTTTGATTGGTGATCACAAACAACTACGTCCAAAAGCCAATGATTTTACTATAGGAAGAAAGCATGGTCTTGAGATTTCACTTTTTGAACGTCTCATTAAGAATGGTTTGTCATCTGTTCAGTTAAAATATCAACATCGAATGAGACCAGAAATTGCCAAGTTAGTTTGTCCTCATATATACCGGGAGCTTTTAGACCATCAGAAAGTCCTAAATTATGAGCCAGTTAAAGGTATCAAAACAAATATGTTCTTTGTCAGTCATACTTTTTCTGAACAGCCAATGGAAGGTTTGATGAGTCCTGCAAACAGTCATGAAGCAGATTTTGTAGTGCGTTTGGCCAAATATCTTCTCACTCAAGGCTATAAGCCAGATCAATTAACCATACTCACTCCTTACACAGGGCAAGTTGCGTGCATTAAAGAGCGTATGAAAACTTTTTCTTTTGAATCTTCTCCTCGTATTGTTCCAATTGATAACTTTCAAGGAGAAGAAAATGATATTGTAATCCTTTCCTTGGTTCGCTCTGTCAAGTCCGGTTTTATGAAGGAAGAAAATCGTATTTGTGTTGCTTTATCTCGTGCTAAGAAAGGATTGTATGTCATTGGTAATTTTGAGCTTTTCACAAAAGAATCACGAACATGGAAGACAATTATTAATAGCCTAGACAGTAATTTTTTTGGATTTTCACTTCCTCTTCAATGTCATTTGCATAAAACAATTACTGATGTAAAACTTCCTGTGGATTTTGACAAAGTAAAAGACGGTGGTTGTTTGGAACTGTGTTGCTATCGAATGGCTTGTGGGCATGTGTGTCCTAGACGCTGTCATCCAGATGACTTGGAGCATAAGCAGAAATGTTTAAAACAATGCAGTCGCAAAATTTGCTCTTTTGATCATCCTTGTCCAAGACTGTGTTCTGAAAAGTGTCCACCATGCAAAGAGTTAGTATTAAAGATCATACCTTCTTGCAATCATCAGCAGTTAGTTCCTTGTCATTGGTCACCAAATCTCTTCACCTGCCTAGAAGAATGCATTAAAATGCTGGAGTGTGGTCACAGATGTAAAAGAAGATGTGGAGAAAAGTGTACTAATTATCAGTGTCGTGAGCTAGTAATGAAAATGTTACCATGTGGCCATGAAGCTCAAACAGAGTGTTTCCGTGAACCTAAAGATTATATGAGACGATGCAAAATACCATGTAATGTAGAACTGGCTTGTGGGCATTTGTGCCGAGGAACATGTGGTGAATGTAACCAAGGTAGGCTCCATATTCCTTGTAAAGAAAAGTGCACACGTATTCTATTATGTGGTCACAAATGCTCTTCAAATAATTGTGCCAGTGATTGCCCTCCCTGTCGATTAAATTGTCCTAGTTCATGTATTCATGGGCCATGTGGCCATAAATGTACTTCTTCATGCATCCCTTGTGCTGAGCCTTGTGAATGGCAGTGCCCTCATCACAAATGTACTAAAATATGTGGTGATATCTGCGATAGGCCTCGCTGTAATGAGCCCTGTCAGCTCAAGTTACAATGTGGACATCCCTGTTTAGGCCTGTGCCATGAGCCTTGTCCACCAGTTTGTAGAGTGTGTGATCCAAAAAATGAAGCTTTTAGTATTTTTTTGGGTAATGAAAGTGAGCCAGAGTCTCGTTTTATAATGCCAATAGAGTGCTCTCATATTTTTGAAGTATCTGATCTTGATACCTATATGGATATGAATGATGATCATAATGCTGTCCAGTGGAAACGTTGTCCACGTTGCAGTACAAATATTACAAAAAGCCTTCGTTATGGTAATGTTATCAAGAAAATCAAAACAGACATGAATGCTATTAAAATGAAGGAATTTCAAACATTAAATGGTTTTGATCGTGATAAAATGAAGAGGGATATTTTAGGATGGAATGATAAAATTAAATATTGTAACATTCGTCACATTAATGATTTACCTGATGTAACTTTACAATCTTTGCATACACTCCTTTCTTCTGCAACTGAGTGTGTTGAATTGCTACAAATGTTTGATACTGGCTCTGATTGTAGTGATATTATTTGCATTTCCAAGCAAATCAGTAGGCTACAGAGTTTTTTGAGATCTCACCGTGTTAAAAATTTGCAGTGTTTACCACAGCAAGTCATCAATGATATTCAGTGTGAGATTAGACGATTTCATTTTCTGAGAAAGTTTTTTGAAGTTGACATAAAACCAAAATCATCTCTAGTGCATTATAAATGGATTACATATGAAAGACAAATTGAGGAGCTGAATCTAACAAGCTATAAACCAAATTTGAAAATGACAGAGGAAATATATAAAGAAAAATGTGAAAATCTGTCTTGGTTTTGTAGAGAAAACGGCCTTGATGCACCAACACCTGAGGAAATAAGGCAAATTGTAGCTGCCATGGGTGGTAGGAAAGGATCATGGTACAAGTGTCCTAATGGACACTACTACCATATTGGAGAGTGTGGAGGAGCAATGCAAGTAGGAAAATGCATCGAATGTGATGCTCAAGTTGGAGGAAGTAGTCATCGTTTACTGGATGACAATCAGCACGCTGGAGAAATGGATGATTCTCGGTTTGCAGCTTGGGGCCAGGAAGCTAACCTTAATAATTATGACTTGAATGATGTTTTGTGAAATAATTATTATAATGTTATTGTTGAGTCTATATTAGTAAATTTAATATTGTTTCTTAGTTATTATTAGCATTAATAGTTTGTATCTATTCAATTTGATTAAGTATAATTATGTTTATGTTTGCTAACTTTTAAACTTTTGATTACTAAGAATATTTAAAATTAATGTCATAAAAGTTCAAGTTTGCCAAATAAATGGATACACTTACACATCTCTATATGCATAAATACATTAGGTGTTTGACATTAACTATAAGGAATTATGTGAGAATACTGGGGTATTTTCTACAATCAAAACTTAAGTGTAATAATTATTTTACAGGACAATATCAATGAAGTGCTCTGTGCTGTTAATAATTCAGCACTGACTTACACATTCAGAGTAAGCTGACCAGACTGATTACACAGTATCCCGCAGCAGGGGTGTTATCAACATATTTGCCAGTTTTATATGTTGTTGCAACTCATGGTCATATTTTGACTAAAAACTTATTTTCAGGCATAATGTAGCAATTTTATTGATTTACAGGGCTTGAAAAGCAAATCAGTTACTTCTGACTAATTTTTCTTGATTGCTGAATTAAA